TGTGTTCTTGACATGGGGTACGTAAAATGCGCAGTTCGTTTGGCAACTTCTGTCCTTTCGTGTTTTCACTAGATTTTGGCATTTTCAAGTCATCTTCTAGAGTCTCCAACTGAGTGCAAAAGAATCTTAGTTCTAATATTGATGTGTTGAAGTTTATTTCCCTGGAATGGACGTGGAGTTTCATCGTTTTTTTTTTCTTTTGAACTGCTGGCTTATGTTTGCTCTTTCTTCATCAGACTTAGAGTTTGTTTGGAACAAAATGAATTATTTTGGTGGAATATATTTAGAAATCTTAGTTTCGTTTTCCTCTAGCATTAGCAAATCATTCTGTAAAGACAAGTCTAACTAATTCATTCCGCCGAATTTGAAATGTATGATTTCAGTTCCACTTATAATAATTTGAAATTGAATTTTCATGTTTTAAGTTTAGATTTATAAATATTCAAATAGTCTGTTTGCTCCATGCATCCTTAATGACATCTTAGAAGGTGTATCATGTTTAGTTTTGTTACATTAAGGAGAGTGCGGGTTATGACTAAAAATGGTGTAATTGAGCTTGAGCATTTACTTTATGATCTTGTATCTTCACTTGGTGAGATTTTGACTTCTACTAGTGCCTAATAGATTGAAACTAAGTAGAAGAGCATCAGGCAGACAGCGAGGATTCTGTAGTAAGGCATGTCCATTCACTATACTATTGCAGAGCCATTGCAATGGCCTTCCTTTTTTTTTCTCTGAAATTTAACAGTTGTCTGAATTTTGACTTCAAAAGTTTCTGCGGAGGCAGTCAAGGGACAGTCTCAAGCATAGAAGAGCTAATGTCTATGGTCTTCATGCTCAAGATCGTGTACTGGAGGTACTTCTCACTGAACCAGAAACTTCTTTTAAATCCTGGCTATTATTAAGCTTCATGAAATTCTCAAATTCTTTTGATTTTTTAGGCTATTTGACCATATCTCTGACCATCTTAAGTATAAATGCAGCAATATCACTATGAAAAATGTGAATGCAGTAGAATTGCATCTTGAATTCTGGTGTTGTATTGCTAGTAATTTTTTTTTCTTAGGATAAATTGTGAGATTTATGTTATTAAATAGTTCATGCATCTATTGTCCTTATATATGTGTGTGTTTTTCTGCTACTAGTTTTGACTGAAACATGCTATAGGTATCTTTAAGGGTATTAAACTAATTTTTGTTTTCTGATACCTGTTCGTACTTCTAGGAAGAAGCCCCAAAGATGTCAGAAACCAGCCCATCATTAAAATTTTCCTCTGGGCAGCCATTTCCATTAGGTGTGTCAGAGGATGATAATGGAATCAATTTTGCTATTTTTTCACAGCATGCAATTGCAGTCACACTCTGCTTATCATTTCCCGAGAGGTGAAATTATTTCCTTATTGGTTGGATTATGAAATAAAATTATCAATGGAAGTTACTGAATTTGGTTTTCATTTCTTGGCCTGCTATATGGTCAAAGAATAGGGGACTATTCATGCCTCAACCATGTTGTTCTATACTTTAACATTTCATTCTGCCATTTTCTTGGTGTCCTAGAATCATTCTTGTTTCAGTTTAATGTAGATGCTGGATTATGTTTGTTACATGCGATTCCGGTGTTTGTCAAGTTGTTATCTATAGGTTTTTAAGACAACCATAGAATGTTTTTGTGTTTGTCTATTGTTTCATTAGCAGAGATAAACTTGCTTAACTTCTTCTGGTTTTCATTATGACGGACATTAATCTGTGGTTATTTTTGGGGGTTTGTAATTTATATGAGAAAATCGTGTTTCGTATCAAATTTGTGCCATCTGCTTTTTGAGTACGTCCTGTTGCAGTATTGGCTTATGTCATATCTCTCAACTGCTTATGCTCCTTGCACCTTGACTCTAAAAAGCTCATTTTGATTCCTGTACCATTCGCATTTTAGCTGACTGTTTCTGATGTTTTTGTACCAGTAAAAATATTGTTCTCAAGTTCTGGAGTTTTGACTTTTATCTGTATTATCTTAAGCCTAATGCATTTTCCATAGATCATATCACAGGGATAAGGTGGGAAGGCCAAATGATGAAATGATTGAACTGGCTCTGGATCCACGTCTAAACAGAACTGGAGATGTTTGGCACATATGTATAGAGGTAGTATTACACTTTTACTGGTTCTATCCCTATGGAAGTAGGGAAGTCTTCCATGTGCAGCATTCATATGAACACATATACTAATTACTTATATATGCATCAACCATTATTGGTCACATGAGAGGCTGATATCTTGCAAGTTTGCTGTTTGTAATGTTGGCTGTATGTGTGCATACATCCAACATTTCTTTATTACTTCTGTGACATAAGGTCTTTAATACATCTTGCATTTATGCTTTGAAATTGTATATGTAAAAGTAGGACTTGCCTCGAAGCAAGATTCTCTATGGTTATCGCATGGATGGTCCTCAAAATTGGCATCAAGGGCATCGATTTGACAGCAGCATTGTTCTTATAGATCCTTATGCCAAGCTTGTTGAAGGACGCCAGTATTTTGGAGACCCCAACCATAGATTTACAAAATTTCTTGGAACTTATGATTTTGAGAGTCCAGATTTTGATTGGGGAGATAACTACAAGCTACCAAACATACCTGAGGTATTAAGATGTTTATATCCTTACCACACTCTAATGGTAAATTCTTCTCTCAGATTGAGATTTTACATTCATACATATTGATATATTTCTTCCAGGCATTCACCTTTGTTATTAGTTGAATAGACTAATAACTAAATGTATGTCTATTTTTCCTTATAAAAGCTCTACATGTTTTTCCTAGTATTGAACTCCAAATTTTTTTAGTCTTCAAAATCAGATTTTATGCATTATGTTACAAGTATTATATTTTACATTTGTATATTGATAATTTCTTCCTGTCATTCATCTTTATTATTAGTTGATTAAACTAGTAACTAAAGGTATGCCCATTTTTTCTTGTACTGAATTCCAAAATTCTTTTTAGTCAGAGTTTATGCATCGTGCATACAATTTTTATATTCTACATTGTAAATTCTGCATCTCTGCTTTCTATTATCTTTGCAGAAAGATCTTGTTATATATGAGATGAATGTTCGTGCATTCACAGCTGATGAATCTAGTGGCTTGGATCCAAGTATTCGTGGCAGCTACCTTGGAGTGATTGAGAAGGTAATTATTGATATATTAAAATGAAAAAAAAAGACTTTTATTTCCTTCAGTTTCCAGCTGGATGAGAAAATTCTTACTAAGGGATCAGATTGTTCAAAGAGTAGATCCTTGAATGAATAATACAGTGAGAGCAGGGTTTATGTAGTGTGAGCTGATGCAAGAGGTAACAGTTAAGTAATTGTAACAAAAGTAGCTAGAAATTAGTTAAAATAGTTGCAAAAGGTTAAATCCGTTTCAAGCAGCCGAGATCGGGTTTAAATAGATCCAGGAATGTATAAATAC